TCATAAGACCCTCCTCTAAAAAACCTACAATTTTAATATTTTAAAGAACAAATTCAGAGAAAATTAGGGCACAAGAAAAAATCTAAAATTTATACCAACATTGAATTTACGTTGCTAGATGAACTGATATTTGAAAAAGATATTATGTTCATATGTTATTTCAACAAATATTTTTTTAATTTACGGTGAAAAATAAAAAAAAAAAACGAGGAGAAGATTTACTTGTAAATGACAAAATGCTAAGCTGAAACTCTCTTATGTTATTACAAACAGAAATGCTAAAGAAGAACATGATAAAAACAGAATACACTTAGAAAAATAGTCAAAATCTTAGCTAGGCTATAGTTACACATGGATATGTTAATTCCATATCATATTCCACATTATGTTTCTCTGTGATGGCTTTTATGTGTAGGTAATTTAATGGCGCATAATATGCACATCTCATTTTCTATTGAAATAAATCCTACATTGTTATAAGTCGATAACGTTTTATTCTTATTGGTACGAATTAAATGTTTGGTCTTGAATTGAGCAATCACTCAAACGTTTGATCATGATTTGACCATTTAGCTTTTTTTTTTTTTTGGTGAAAGTCCAAAGATTTTTTTCTAATATTTAAATCTCAAAATTAGTAAAAAACCATATTTGATTAATGTTTAGATAAGATAATATATGATTAATTTGGTACCAATTTTGGACATAATGAGTGCTAAAACCTTTCTTGTATGTAATCAACTATCAAATTTAGTTCGTTGATATAGACTAAAACTTATTCTTTTTAGGAACCTTTAGTCAAGTTTAGGATAATCTTTAAAAAAAAAAAAAGATTCACATAAGTGATCAATCACTTCTAGATAAAAAAAATTAGTGTGACTCTATATTTTTTGTGTTTAATGAGCAGATTCTCTCAAATTTGAACATTATGACAATCACATGTTAAGACATTTGCTATCTTTTTTCTTTTTCTTTATTTAATTTTTTATGTTTAGTTTTTTCTTTTTTTAATATTTAGTAAACAAATTTTTAATATTTTAATATTTTTTAAAAGTTGGACCTATTCAATATTATCGATTAAAAATATTTTTTTATTTGATAATTTTTTTAAAAGGATGTTACAAAGGCGTCATCTTCACATCAAGACTTAATTTTTGTTTCCTTTTTAGATTTTTTTTTATTTTTTTAAAAATCCATGATATAAATATATATTTTATTATTAATTTAATTTTATATTAATATATATTATATTAATAATATTATTTTTAATACCATAATTTAATAAATCAACGTGCCATTTTTATTTGACATTTTTTGTCATCATTTATTTGCCTATACTTTAAATCTTGCACATGTACAGAGGTTTTATGAGGTACTATGTGACACTCTAATGTACTTTTTTTTTTTTCTTTCGTTTTTTTTATTTTTTATTTTTTAATATTTAATAATTATTTTTTGTATTTTTAAATTTATATGTATGGAACTCATTTCATATTTTTATTAAAAATATATAATTTTCTTTTTTAGTTTTTTTTCGTTTTACATGTGAACCTGTATTCGATGGCTTTTAATTCATCTATTCAAAATTTAATAACCTAGCATAATATAGGGTGATTTGTATCCAAATGTAGCATGTATGTGATTATAGTAAATTAACTTCTATTCAAAGTTTACTATCCTAGCATAATATTCTATAAAAAAGTGATAATTTGCTTTAATTATTATAAGTATTCAAAGTTTATTAGCTTGGAATAATATAGCTTACTTTATAGTAAATTAACTTTTATTTATTAGATAAATCCTAATATATATTAAAAAATATTATTAAAATGATAATTTAGAAATATAATTAATAATCATATTCATTTTTATCAATTCAAAAGACTCTACACATATGTATACTTGGTGATTCGTGTATTCATGTCGTGTAAAATATTAAAATTCATATATTCGTACCTTATTTTACATGAAAATTATATGTCATAATTCGTGTTGATATGAAAATATGAAATATATTTTTCTATTTTATAAAACTTATATATAGTTATTATTAAAATTTTAAATTGCGTCACATTCATTTCTTTTTTTTTTTTTGTATCGTGTTTGTGTCGTATTTTAAATTACTAAGTTAATATTCTACACATGATATACACATATTTGGTGTATAAGATTATAGATATAATAAAATGATTATCATGCTATCTTATGTTTAGTGCACACATAAGAAAGACGATTGAATTGCAAACGGTGGTTGATCTTAACACTTAATTTTGGAGGGGCTAACTAATATTATATATTTTTTTCCATAAAACTTCTACATACTATATTTTATTATCAACTAATACATATATATATATATATATAAACAATATATTGATAATAAAAAGTATCAAGCTCATAAAAATAAAAATATTATTATGACAAAATTAAAATTTAAAGAGTACCAATACTTTTAAATTAATGGTAAAATATCTAATTACACAATCTTTTAATGAATTGAGAAAACTTTTTTATTATTTTGATAATTTAAAATAAAAAATACATATAAATCATTTGTTAAACAGTTTTTTTTATCAAAATAAGAAAAATAAATATTTTTAAAAAAATGAAGTTGAAAATTTGAGATTCAAAGTTATAGTCAAATCTTTTATAAAATGGTTTTAATCTTTTTTTTTTTTTTATGAAAAATAGATTGCAAGCCAATATGAAATAAAAATCTAGAGTAAAATTAAAAGTTAAAAAAATTATATAGAGAGGAGAAATTATAGTAAATTTTAAAGAAAAGGGACTAAAACATTATATGATTTTTAGAGTTGTAAACGAACAGAGTGTCGACAAATTATTTGTGAACATGTTTGGTTTTTGTTTGTTTATATTCGCTTGTTAAACTTAACAAATGATCTTAAATAATATTTTTATATTCATTTATTAAACAAACCAAACATGAATATAAGTTTGTTTGGTTCATTTATATTCATAAACAAGCTCGTTTAAAGTTTGTTTAAAGCTCGTTCATTTATTATTCATTTATTGTTCGTTTGCTGTTCATTTATAATAATACTAACAATGTTATATTTTTATCCTTTACCCAAATCCTATTTTAAGGTTTGTTTATATTCATTTGGATTGGTTTATCTTCGTTTATGATTTATTTGTTCAAATTTATTTGGTTATTATTTGTTTTTTGCTCATGAACATATTCGTTTATATATGTTTGTGAACATGTTCATTTAATATTCACAAACGAGCTTATTTAACTTAATTAAATAAAACATGAACATAATGCGAATATTCTACCATTATACAAATCAAGCTTGAACAAAAGAACAATTTTCGAACATAAATCGAGTTTGAACACCTTTAAAAATAAATAAACAAAACACCAGCTATACGTTTATTTATTCATGTTCAGTTCGTTTATAACACTAATGATTTTAGTCCATCTTAAATAATAATGCATAAAATTAAATTATAAAATAAAAAAATATATTACATATTATAATAAATATAAGGAATATAGAATAGCAACATGATTTTAATCCTTCTTAAATTCTAATGAAAAATTAGATTATGAAACCAAAAAATAAATTAATTAATTAATAATTCTAATTTAAAAGAGGCCAATTTAAAATATATATATTTATATTTATATAAGGGTTTTCAAAACTTTGGGGGACTTAGTCTCCTTAAGTTTAAATGACGATTCACCTCTAATTACAAAGATAATTAATTATCTTTTTAGTATAGGATGACTCAACCATCTTAAAAAAGAGAAGATTATTTCTAATATTATGAAATTAGATGATACGTGCTTATAAATTACTTATTTTATTCCTAAAGCTTACATTCAAAATTTTACTTAAACATTTAATAAGTGGATAAGTCTCATTATTTAAATGGTTAACTCAAGTTATTTTTTTCAATTTTTTATTTCTTTTTCCCTATTTTATTTTTTTCTATTTTTTCCATTTTCCCTCATTTTGTTTTTTTATTTGTTTATTTTTACCTTTTTTTCCCTCTTTTTCTTTTTTTTGAATAAATAAAAAATATAGTTTTGATAAAAACTAATTTTTTGATTTTTTTGAAAAATTAATTTACTTTTTTTGGAAATAATCAAATTTTAAATTATTTTTATTAATAAATATAACTTTGAACCATAAACTATTTTAAACTAAATATTTTATAGCTAATAAATAAATAAATAATATTCTTTTTTTCTCTTTTTTTCTTTTTTTTTTCAAGAGGAAGAATAAAACAAAAGAAGAGAAAAAAATAAAAAGAAAGAAAACATATCAAATTATATTTTCGATAATTTTTAAAAAATTAATCACTTTTTTTAAAAATCACTTTTTATAAAAATAATTTTAGCTCTCAATCATATAATTTATTTTAAATTTAAATTATAAAAGGAAACAAAATAAATGAAAAAGAAAGAAAATAAAAACAAAAAAGTAGTAAAAAAATATTTTTGCTAAAACAATTTAAAAATATTTTTTTGAAAAAATAAATTCATTTCTTTAAAATGATTGATTATTTTATTAAAATATAAATTTTTAAAAAATAAATTTAACTCTTATCTATAGAAATTATCATAAAATATTTATTTTTAGTTAAAAATTTTCATTTACATTTATATAAAAATTATAAATTTAAATTATGTGTTATTTTTTTTGCCAAAAAATTATTTTTTACTTTAAAAAATAATTTTGATTAATAAAATAAACCATCTTATACTATTCTTAAATTTACACATAACAAGTTTAGAGAAAAATAGAAATTATCTTATCGTATTTTTAATTTTTATAAGCATTAAATAAAAAATAAAATGATATTATTTATTTTAATTTTATTTATAATTTTATATTAACCTATCCTATTCATAATTACATGTACGAAATATATATTTATTTATGTGTGTATATATATATATATATATATAATTTCATGTGCATATATTTAAGTGTAAGAAAAATTAAGTAAAATAAATTTTTAAGGTCGACGGGATATCGACTTTTACCGTTTTTGAGGAAACGGCGAGACAAGTGTTTTTTTGCCATTCGTTTAAGGAGCGTATGACAAGGATCTCTTTACCTATTCGCAATCCAAAACTTTCTGTATGAGATAATTTTCCAAAATACTACCATTGAAATAAGAAAGTGAAGGCATTGTAATATTTGCATGGAAGCCATTTTAAAGCCTCCGTTAAGCTCACCCAATAAGACAAAAACACCCAAACCATCCTCATTTTCTTCTTGTACTATGTCTATCATCAATAAAGCTACATTTTTGCCACCACTAACTCCTCATTTTACAACTTCTTTTTCTTTCTCTGCCCCTTCTCGTTTCACTTCTTCTGGTAAGTCATTTCCAATTCTTTTGGCTATAAACCATTAATATGTTTCTTCAACTTTCAGCTAAGAAAATTTTGTGGGTTTCGTGTCATTCATGTTGTGTGTTAATGGTTCTTGTCCATTCTTTCCTTTCTTTTCCTATTTCTATAATGAGTTTTTCTCTTTTGGCCTTAAAAATTATTTTTCCTATATGTTTCTTGGATTTTCTGCTGAGCAAATTTTGTGGGTTTCATCATGTCATTCATGCTGTGTGTCTGGATTCTGTAAAAAAATTTTTCCTTTTGTTCTGGCTTGACTCAGTTATATATGCGACTCCGGAGAGCCAATTGAGTGAGGGAGTAGAAAGAACTACAAGAGAATGGGTAATGCAAGGTATGCTTTAACTTACTGAATTCCAAGTCATATATTTGGGCTGAAAATTTTGATGTTCTCTAAGATGGTCTAAATGGTATTAGCGCTTTGCCTGTATAGTTATTCAAATGGCAGTTTATATCCCATAAAACAATAATTATCATTTTACTTAAATTGGACCCAGTGCCAGTACCAGATTACGTTATTGAGTTTTAATGTGAATCAATTTGAGCTTGCTCATATAATCTTACTCTATTCTTCATTGGTAAAATTTATCATTAGATGTACCATAAAGGATATAGTGTTTGGTTTGTAAATTGAACATGTACTGGTGTAGGAAGCCGTAGGAATGCTTCTGTGGTTTATAGTTATTATCACCACTTGGAAGGTCTGCAGTTTTTAATGCAAGTAAAGTTTCAAGAGAGCCATTCTGATGGCAATTGTTAAATCATCGCATTGCAAATGCTAAAGGCTCTAGGCCTTCCTCTGAATTTGTCCCTAACAAAATTCATTAGGAGCCATACGCTTATCACCAAAAGCTGTAGATTTTGGTATTTCAGTCTCACTGTTCAAGCTGATTAGCCTAGGAACCTCAAAAAAAAGAAAAAATGTTAGTTCTGATTTAAATATTTAGGTTCACTTATTACATAATCTTTGACTTTTTCCTTGTTAAACTTTGATTTCTAAACCATTTCCCTTTATCAAAAAAATTGGTGAAATTATCTAATAGCTCAGACAAGTTTTGCTGGATTTGGACTAATGTGCTACATTTTCCCTATGATGGCTCTTGTTCATTTTGGCTTTCAATTTTCTATTTCTTATGCTACTTTCTTTTCAGCTTCTATCTTATCCTTTTTTTTAAGACGATGGGTGGCTTTCATGATTTTGTTTGACTGTTCTTTGCAAACACTCATCATTTAGTTTCAATATTCGGGTTTTCTGGCTCAAGCAATATTCTTATTCAAAGCATCATATCTCAATTGTTTAGTAACTAACAAATAAAGAGATTGTTGTTGTTAAATGATGACTTGTGTAAGAGTTTGGAAGACTAAACTTTAAAAATTATACAAACTGATGAAAAAATTTTTCTAACACAACTGAGTGGGTTGATCAACCTTTTTGGCCCCCTGCCAGAAGATCCTGCTTCTTACCCTGGATTTGATACAAGTTGGATTTGCACATATTAAGTATTGCCCTGTGCATCTCTGAATTATTGCTTGCCATTTTCTGACAGATTTTTATGCTCTAAGGAAGGATGTTGAAACTGCCACAGAACGTGTTGAGGAGATTAGAGCATCTGCTAGTCTGCAGCTTTTAGGAAAGGAGCTTGTAGATTTGGAATCAAAGGCAGCCGATAGCTCCTTTTGGAATGATCGTGCCAAAGCCCAAGAAACTCTTTTGGCACTGACTGATGTCAAAGATAAGATAAATTTGCTCAATGAATTTAAAACCAAGGTATAAACTTTCTTGTTAAGAAAAATACAGTTTTGTAGCATTGTGGCTTTCAGCATTATTAGCCTGTGCTTGAAGCATAGTATGGTACAATGTACTTGACACCGTTTTATTGTTTTATGCTTCTACAGCACTATCATTTATTTTCTTTTCTTTTTTTTTAGTTTTTTTTTTGGGAGGGTAATTCTATTTGTCAATGCTTTAACCTTTTCCAAATTGATATACTTTTCTATTAAAGGGGTCAAAATTATTTTAGTTTGATGATCTGGTGAAGAATACCGTCCATTAAATTCCCAATATGCCTGGCTTCTTATTTTAATTCATAAGACTCCCAACTTCCTTATTTTTGTTGAATTGGACTGTGTTTATCTAATATGATTTCTCTTCATTGGGAGGATTATTATTTTAAGGTTGATGAAAATGACAATGCCCATGCACAAAATCAGGACAAGGAAATTTAATTATGCAATTTGTTTCCTGTCTCAATTAAGCACATGGATATAATTTTGGGATAGTTGATTGGGTTTAAGTGTCTGTAAGAGATCTAGTTCAGGAGTGGATCCTTTAACAAGTAGATGCAAGTGTTGCGATTGGTTAGGCGGAGTAATATTAGTACCATTTGACAGAACGACTTTTCTCTTTTGCAATTTGACTTGTATAGATCCTCGATTGTTGAAAATTATACTTGCATTTTTCCAAAATTCTGATTTTGATCAAAATGTGCTAGACTGGAACTTGGACAAATACTACTTCCTTAATATGCTTTCTTGATTTAGTGAGCTGTATACCATACATTGGATGCAGGTTGAAGATGCTGAAACTATAGTTAAGCTAACAGAGGAGATGGACTCCATAGGTGCTGCACTTCTAGAAGAAGCTGTCAATATCATCAAAGAACTAAATAAGGCGTTGGACCTATTTGAGTTGACTCAACTTCTTTCTGGTCCATATAATAAAGAAGGTGTAGTCATCTCTATAACTGCTGGTGCTGGAGGCACTGATGCACAGGTAATATTTTGTTTTCATGAGGCAACATGAATGATTTATATTCCTTTCTCATCAGATAAAAGAATGATGTTCAACATGCAACATCCGTTAATAGTTAGTGGCTGTATCATTAGTCTTTTGTTAGTTCAATTAAATTAAAAGCAAATCTATTTGACTCAGAACCTGGTAATTTAAGCTTCATTCTCTCATCTGTGCAGTGTTTGCTGTTCTTTTAGTTGGCTGACTAGGTGCAAAATGCACTTGGTCTTGTTCAGCAAGAGTCAAACTGCTTTCAGCATCTAGTATATTGATTCTGCTTGATTTATAAAAGTAATTGGTCATATGATGATGATCTATTAAATATGAATTGGATAAAAGTTAGTTGATCTTGTGATAAGCATATGGCTTTCATGAAAGCCCCTTGAAGAATCATATTAGAGGCTAGAATCTAGCCACTCATATTTAGTTAACTTAAAACTTCGTGCTTACTTTGTTAATAACTTAAAGCACCTGCTAGTGGTTGTATGAGTCATGGGCAAATCATTTGATAGTGTAGGATTAGTAAATGGGGACTGGATCTGCTTTGATATCATGCCAAATTTGTGGGCATCCACCTAAAATGAACTGGCAAATAGTTGGAGAGTGTGAGGTTAAATATAGAGCAGAATAGATCTGAAAAAACATGATGCAGGATAACATCACTTGACACTTTTAGGACAAGGAAAACAAACGATAGGAAAAAGTGGGACAACAAACATGAAGAAAGAACAAGGGAACAAATAAAGTGGCTTCTAAGACCATCTTAGACATCTGTCTGAAAACCAGTTTGCCATAGGTGGATTGGTCTATCTTGAATAAAGGTGCCAGGTAACCAAACCTAAATTGATGTAGGATTTATCACCACTTAAAATATACTAAGTAAATTAACCGAAGTGGAGTTGTATGAAGCAGACTTCGATGATGGGGCTTACAACTGGTCTAAAACAGCACAACTGTTGAAATTCCCTCAGATGAGACGTTCATATAGTGTTCTAAAGATTTTTCAGACATTGGGGTTTTGTCTAGTTCTTCTACATCAAAGGTTCAACCACAGACAACCCTCAACATGAAACTGTTAGTCATATTCAACTAAACTTCTTTTAATTAAAAATCACATGGGCTAATTTTCATCCATATTCAGATTTCCAGTCATCAGTGAATATGAGGACTTAAATCCTGACCCTGAGATTATTGTTTTTCATGGGGCCTGATGTACCACTGAGCTTTATCTCTGCTTTTCTTGTGTAAAAATCTTGATTGTTTCCAGTGCAGGATTGGGCTGAAATGCTTCTCAGGATGTACATGAGATGGGGAGAGAAACAGAAATATAAGTCATGGGTGGTTGAAAAGTCCTTGGGAGAGGAAGCTGGGATTAAGTCAGCCACAATTGAAGTTGAAGGTAGATATGCTTATGGTTATCTGTCTGGAGAAAAAGGTACACATTGTATAGTACGGCAGTCTCTTTTCAATGCCAAAGGTCTTCGTCAGGTAACTTGTGCTATGGTCTGTCATTTGGACTCTCTATATATATCAGCAGATATGACAGAGACCTTACCAACCAATATATATATATTAAGTTCTAATTTTACTTGTAAGTTGTTGTATATTGAGAAAAGACTGATCTTCTTGTTATATGGTTAGGATTGAACAATTTGGTCCATCAAAATTGTTTTCTAGCGTTTGATTAGTTGGGTTGGGGGACTGCTTATCCAATAACTAGATGATCTGAATGACCAACATTTTTTGTTTCTCCTAAATTTCTATAATAAGTGGTTAATTTTCGTGCATCTTTTACTTTCTTGTTTGTATTATGTTTCTCAGCATCCATAGTGTTGGTGGAGTGGTTGGACATGGGACACTAGGAAGATCATGTACATGGTGCTTGCAGCCACCAGATCGTTGTTTTGACATGTTGCCTTAAAATGTTGTTGCCTTCTTGATGGAAGTTTTTTGTGAATTCCGTAAAAATTTTTGAGAAAAATAGGCTATTATTTGTTTGTTAAATGGATTGAGATTGTGGAGCCATGCTATTTCATTCCAATCAGACAAAGAGAAATGATACTTAAGGTTTCTTCACAGTAAACACAGTTGACTGGTGTCCCCTTGGCCAACATAACCGCTCTTCCATTTTTTTTCCTTGAGAAAATAATCAGACTTCCAATAACCACACAGAGATATGACCCCTGTGACCTTTAGTTGAGAAATCAGATTGTTCATGAATGCTGATCATTCCCATTGGGCCCTCGTCTCCCTCTAATTGCTTCACCATGATTGTTTCTGTCGATGCCATGCAATCACTAGAAGAGGATAGAGAATCCTAGTTTACAATGAAGGATCCATAGCTAAAGGTCACAAGAAAGCTCCATACTTTTGGAGACTCAAAGAGGACCCAAAGAGGAGTTTTTTCCTTTAGCCTTTAAGATTTGTCTATCAATTTAATACAATTTTGGTTCTAGTGATATGTAGGAATTTAAATATTGTGCTGCGGTGAAGCCAATATGAAAAGCTGTGTTTGAACATTCTTTGTTTGTATTAGGTTATAAAAATGTTATCAAGTTAATAGTCATGCAGCCTGGTATAGTCCTTGGATTTTGTTTGTGTATGTACATTTTTTATATATTTTCTTCACTGTATAAATGAACCTTTTTTTTTAGTTTTTTTTTACTTTCATTATCAGTTTGACTATTATTTGATTAAGCCTTGATTCACAACCCAGACTTTCTGCAGTTTTTCTTTTAACATCTTAGGTGCAGGAATCACTTCCATATTTAGCTCCTAGGTCAAATCTGTGTGCTTTTTCTCTCTCATGATGAACTCTGATAAACCTGGGAACTAATAGTGTTTCCTCAAATGCAGGAGAAATTCTAGGTAACAAAATGAGATTGAAATATGACAGTTCTTTAAACTTTGGAATTTAACGTAAAAAGTATGTCGATTACTGGAAGAAAGTTGTATGTAAAATGTAGCTGTAATATCTCCGTCCCCCTTGCCCCCTTCTCTGAATGTTTAACTCTTGACATTGGGTTATGCAGACAAGCTTTTCTGGTGTTGAAGTCATGCCTCTTCTCCCCGAAGACTCAGAGGATTTACATTTCCTATTTGCAAAACATTGTGTCAATATTTTTGTTTTTTGTTTTCACCCTAAGGAAAGGGGGTTAAGGGGGGGAGGGGTGGGTTTGGTTTTAGATATAAATCATGGGAGGTTGTGAGATTGGGGAGAGGAAGGGTGTATTATAACATGTTATGGAATTTCTAAAATTCTAAATACAGAAGCAATTTAAACCAAGTTTGAAGGATGTACAGGGACTAAAACAGGAAACTAAGTGCAATGAAATTCGATAAGCTTAATCAAAGTTTTGCCTTTCAGCAGCATTATCATCAGAACCATCACAAAGTCGGTTATGTCTGTTGGTATTCATCTTATTTGGAAGCACCTCCTAGATTTTAATAGTCAAAATAGGAAACTTCCTGCTTGTTAAAGAGTAAGAGGAGATGTTGTTTAAATTTTGAATCATTCCCTGTTAGAAAGGGCATGCTATTTCCTTCTTTCATCCCCCTGCCCCCTTCTTTACCTTTTCTTTTTTTGCTCTATACCAGTCATGCAATAGTTTCTTTCCGATTTTCGTTTGTCCAATATTGATGACATTTTCTTGGCCATATTGCAGAAAAGGGATCCCAGCTAGCGAACATGATCAAGGCTCTTAGCCGTTTAGAAGCCAAGTTATTGGTGATAGCTGAGGAGCAACGTGCACCTGAAATTAAGCAAATAAGAGGAGATGCAGTGAAGGCGGAGTGGGGGCAGCGGATACGTAACTATGTATTCCATCCATACAAACTGGTAAAAGATATACGGACAGGGTTTGAAACATCAAATATTGCGTCAGTAATGGATGGTGAATTGGATGCCTTTATCAAGGCTTACCTCAAATATAAATACAGTATGAATGTGTCTGCAACAGGGGTTCATTAACAGTTTAGTGATCTATGATTAACTTCTATAATCTCCCTTTTGTGTTTATATAAGCTCAAAATCTTTGAATCAAATCAAGAATATGCAAGGTAGATTACTGTAAACTGATATATATATATATATATATATATATATATCGCATTCCCTTATTACTAATCAGATTCAAATGTGGCAAAGTACCATTGTCCGCATTCATTTTGTACATGGCTTCAGATTGATAGAGAATAAATAGATAACAGTCATTTGGTGCACTAATTGCAAACCCAGCTGGGTTTTAGATATTTTCTCTTAACTGCATATATAAATAAAACAACTCAATGACTTATCTTATCTTGCATATTCTGTGTGCGGTACATGTTATATAAATTATTTGCTTATAATTTTATTATTAAATACATAAAAATGAATTACAACAATTTCATTAATTTAACAAGAAAAGAGTTTGCAGATTTTTCTTTTAATGTGCAAAAAGTATAGATAAAATATATGATGTGGTATTTCTTTTTAAAGGCGCAATGCTTGTATTTTTTTGGTACATATATAAGTAGTTTTTAGTATTTCGAAGTGAGAATTTGAGTGGGTCAAAACATTTTAAGTTGAAAATTTTATACTTTTTTTTATACTTATATAAAGCAACATATCATTAGATTTGAAATATATATTGAATATATTTATATATATATATATTATATATAAAGAAAATTATTTAATATTGTGTATGAAATTTTTAAATTTGATTAATGAAATTAAAAAATTGTCACAAATCTTATTAAAATATATAATAAAAAATATTACTAAAATAACTTAATAATAAATAAAAAATATGATAATATCTTATTAATTTATTATTTTTAGAGTTTAAAAATTCAGTAATGCTATGCTTTAGGAAAAGGAAAGCAGTAAGATTACTGAGATACTTATTAATGGTATAAGATTACTGAGATACTCATTAATAGTATAATGTACTTGAATACATATATCCTCTCTCTTTCGTGCGAAAGTTGCTGATGGCTGAGATTAGAATCCGAATCCAAAGTCTAAAAACCCTATTTCTAATAATTTTTTTTTTAAAAAAAAATCCCTTAGCTTGAGGGAGGGAGCTGTCCTGCACAACTTATCATTGGCTCCCTTGAGGTTGTCGACTATAGCTTGGAGTCGAAGCTCCCTACCTTTCACTTGATTGCCCTTTAAGTGTTGGCAAAATCCATATAGGAAATAGCTTATCGCTGTAAATTGTATGATCTGGATCGTAAAATCGTTTCATTGTTCCATTCATCTTCAATTTAAACCGACCCATATCATGGGGTTTTAAGAGCCTAGCTGACTCTGAACCCAAAAAACAAATAAAGTTATAGTCATCTGTGAAGTAAATACAATTTGGTTGACACCCTGGGAAGTTCTGAGTGACCGCAACCGACATGGAGCAGTTCCCACCCAAGAATAATGCATCATCTCTTACGCTTTCTACATTAACCAACTTTGCTTCAGTTCCATCTTGGACCAGCTTATAAACCTTACAATTTTTAGTCAAGTAATGTTTCTTATAATGATCAAACCTGAAAATCCTTCTGATGACCAGAATATCTCCGGCAGATGACTCCACAATGTATGATTTCATAATAGCTGGTCTACTGCCAGACCCGCGTACAATGATCTCTGACTTAATAGCTGAATTTCTTGTGCCATCAAAGCTTGAAAAATTCTTAACTGATATGATATTATTTGACAAATCTACAGCATAAATATCACCGTTGCGAAAAATAGCATCAGTTATTTTATCACCTCCTGGATTGTTAATCCAAGCCCAACTTTCAATATCACCTGGTCGTCGAATGATTGCAATTTGTGTATGGTCATCGGCTTTGACGAGGGCGATGACAAAATATTCCTTAGGATTTAGGTAAGGATCATCCGATAGTACAACCTTGTTGATGAAGAAATCACCAGAATAATTAAGCAGAGGAAGAGTGATAGCATCAGAGGTGAAAGGGTTGATAAGCGTAATGGCTAAAGTTGTGGCATCAAACATAGCTAGCCATCCATGAGAAGAGCCACAGAATGCTCTCGTAGTAGTCTTGACAGGAAGTTGCAGCTCCATCTGGTATTTCTTTTCCTCAATCACGTTGTACAAACCAAGCCTTTCTTCACTGTTTCCGTTGGAAGGGATTATCAACAGCGGGGAACTATCCTTCAAGGTTTTACGGAGTAGGTTGGTGTTGTTGCTGATAGCCAAGTTCCACGGCTTGCAAACAGTGCGGATACGCACATAATTGGAAAGCGGAAGAACCAATTTCTCCACTATCAAAACAAGGATGGAATCATGAAGATTTGCCCAATCTGCTATTGAATGCTCCATGACGAAGCCCCTCTTCGAGGATAAAAATTAACAGTAGTGATAGACTGTTAGAACTTAGAAACAGCTCAGTCAGTATATCACCAATTATATATAGTAGAGAGCCAGCTCCAGTAGCATGCTCTCCTAAAACAGAAGCCTTTGGCTGCCTCTCTCCCTTAGATCCCCACGGAAACCCTCTATATATATATAAAGAAGCCCTAAGATTCCATAAGTTTATTAAGGGAAGAAGAAAGGAAAGAAAATCATAGAGGTTATTCGTTAAACTTTCCTTTGTAATAAAAAAGGAAGGTAATCTAGCAGGAGAGCAAAGTAATTTTCCTTTTAAGACAAACATATATTAGTAAAAATATATATGTAAATTAATAAAAAAGGTGTTTGAATTGAGAACAATTGAAAGGCAAGAAATTACCTCAAAATCACAAGTATACGACCTGTTTCAAAGATACAAATTATTAAATACTTCAGGCTTTTTCACGAGTTCAAAATCTTCACGGTTACATGGTTATCTCATTATTATCTATATATAAATATATAAACTTCAAAAATATTAAAAGTAATCGATTTAAATCTCTATGAATTTTAAATTAATAAATTTATCTTTAAAAATATATCTTTTATTAATTAATTTAAATCAACTAAATTAAAAATAGAATTTATGTGACATTAAATTTTTTAAAATTTTAAACTTTAATTAAAAATATTAAAAATAATTGACTAAAATATTTTTATTTAAATTTTTTTATAAATTTTAACTTAAATGGATTTTCTTTGTTATTATTAGATTAAAAAAATGTTAAAAGTGATTAATTAAAACTACCTTAATAAATTTTAATTTAAAAAATGTTAAATGTAATTGATTAAATATCATTAGATTTTTTTTATAAATTTTAATTTAAATAAATTTTTATTATTAGACTCCTTTTTTATAATTAGAATAATTTTTCACATTAAAAAAAAATACAAATAGAATGAGATCAAGCTTAGCGTGCATAAGAAGTAACAAATTATATGGAGTTTATTTTTTTAATTGTTGTAAAAATAATTGTGTATATAGTTTATGTTGATAAATAAATTCATTGAAGATAATCATAATTAAGTCATTGAAGCATATTAATTTTTTTTCTATTTTTTGCCTTTCAATTTTTTTATTTTAATAGATTTGTTAACTATATATGTATGCTAATGATTTTATTATTTACATGTATTATAAAGCGATCATTTAATCTTATTATTGATAATATAATTAAATCTTTTTAGTCTCTTAAAATAATTTTTTAGCATATCATTCTTATAGTTTAATCTGAGTTCTATAATTGATTTCTCTTATAATTGTTATTCTCATAAATAAAAACTAATACCAAATTAAATAAAATCAATTGCACACTCTCCACCAACAATTAATACTATGTGATTCATTGAACATTTTAATTGCACTTTCCATCTATAGAATTAAATTATTCAGGAGGTGATGGAGCTACTAATAGCTTAAGATTGGGTCTCGTCAAATTTTTATAAAAATTGTTCATTTTGATTGAAATAATAATTTATTTAATTTTCTTTTAACCTTTATCTTAATATGCATATATATGATTAATTATATTTCAAGATTATTTAATCTTTATCAATTGCAGTAAATTGCTCAGTTTTTGTCATCTAAGTGATTGAAGAACTTAACGTGAATTATTCTAAGTAGAGAATTATCAAGTGAATTAAATTTAATTGTTTTTAGTGAATTCTTTCAAGGTTTAACAAAATTCCTTGGAACTATTTTTTAAATGTGTTTATGCCAAAAGTTGTGTTCATTCATAAAAATTTATATTGTTAATGCTAAAAATGAAATTATTATGAATTGTATAGGTATTACATAACAAGTTTGTTATTCTGAGAATTGAAATTTAAAAAAAAAACATGAAAAGTACCAAGGTTAGGAATTTATTTTATTTCATTTTAATTTTTAAAATTATGTATTTTAATATTTGAATATAATAAAATTTGTGTATAATAAAAATTTTAAATGAAAGAAAATTTAAGCTTTTAATTAATAGAATGTATAATTACATTCAATTGATGAAAGTACCAATGGAAGATTATCCTAAGCAAAAAAGAGAAGACGAAAGATTGATTGGTTATGCATAGCTCTATCTTCTCCATATGACAAAAACAAAAAACAAAAAAACTTAATGCTATATGATATTTCAATAAAAAATATATAAATGTATTGATTTTAAATTTTTTAGAATTAATATGAAACTCTTTTATTAAAAGAAACATTACATACTCCTTAATTTTCTCTTTTATATCAATCGAAGAATATTTACTATTATATCAAAATTTTTAAAGTTGCCATATTAAACAATATTTGTTTAAAAGAATTGAAATTCATCAAATTAATTATGGCTATTACATTTAATATAAAAATATTAATAGAAGTTGTAATTTAACTAAACTTAAAAGTGATTTACAAGATTAATTAGCAAAATTCAATTTACAAATCTTTATTTAATTGTGTATTTAGTATTTCAATTATTTTAAATTTTAACTTTTCATAATTTCGAATTGAAGTTTAGACTTACGATTAGTGACTAATTCGATTGAGTCAATTTTTGTCATTTATTTAGTGTATTTAATTATTTACTTATGTATCTGAATAAATTTGACTCAACAATTAATGCATGCTTTTCTTTGTTTAAAAAGCTATATTCAAATCATCTTAAATTCAAATAAAAAAGCA